GCGACATCCTCCAGGCAACGAGATATACCGCAAGGGTACCATCTCCTTCTTTGAGATCGATGGACGTAAGAACAAGGTCAGTGGCTGAGAGGCAGCAGGAAGACTTTGGTGCTGGGAGTCTGGGGGAGTCGAGTGAGCAGCTTCTTCAGCTCAGGAGGACACTGTTACAGCTAACAGATCTCGGGTGCTGGTAGACAGAGTGACCAGGAGTTTGACAAAATCTCTGCTCTCTCAGAGCTCACAGGGGAAAACAAACAGGCCAGTAGCAGTTTGGATCCCAGTGTGACATGTTTCATGAGAAAAGTGGGCTGTCAAGATCTTGGGGTGATCAGCTAGGCTTCACAGAGGAGGTAACCTCTGAACCTTGCCACAAGGGTAGGGTGGGTACAGGAACCCCCAGCAGTGGGTTCTTAGGAGTGGGTGTAGCCTGAGACCACTGCAGGTGGTCAGAGACCCAGAGACCCTGCAGGTTCAGTTCCAGACCACCGTGATAAGGTGAACATCAAAATAAAACAGTCACACAAGATTTACTGGTTGCCCAGACTATATAAAAGTTACATTTATGCTGTGCCACAGTCTATTAAGTGTGTAATAACAGTATCTAAAAAAAAATTACAGTGGTAACATCCAGAATCACTGATAATTGTAACAAATACAATAATGAAAAGGTTTGGAATATTATTGCAAGAATTATGAAAAGGTGACAGAGATGTGATGTGAGCAAATGCTATTGGAAAAATGGCACTGATAAACTCAAGGCAGGGTTGCCACAAACCTTTGTTAAGAAAAAAAAATGCAATGTCTGTGAAAGTCAATAAAAAGAGGTGTGCCTGGGTAGATAGTGAGCCTCGAAGCGCTGTCCTTCGGGCTGGAGCACAGACAGAATGAGGGAAGGCTGTTACAAGGACAGAGTTCAGGTGGTGGGATTGGGGTCAGCTGGGAAAAGGGGACACTACAGGTCTGGGGCCTCACACCTGCCTTAGTCTGGCTGTGGGGAGGGAGAAGGGAATAGCCTGCAAGGACCTTTAAGAGTGAAAGGCCTCCATCCCTGGGGCCAGGAGGGCGGGGAGGGAGGGCCAATCACTGACTGGCAGGAGAGAGCTCTGGCTTGGGTGCTGGGGGAGCTTAAGAGAAAGATGCTGCTTTAATCACTGTTAACTGTGTTAGGTGCGGGCTTGGGTATCCAAGTGGCCATGCCTAGCAGGTGCTTAAAAAGCCTCCGGTGAAATGCAGGAGAGTTGTGAGCATGGAGTACAGTACCAAGATGAATTTTACTGGGGCAGTCCTTGAGAGACCCCAGACTTCTTCACCTGTGTTGTAGACGAGCAGATGTGTTTTCAGGAGGTGTGACTGGGCAAGAGAGTACTGTGGCTTTTTGACAGCCGAACTCCTGAGACTGTCACACAGGCAGAGCTTTTCTCATAAGCCTTGGTCAGTCTTCCTGTGGGGGCACACATCAGTTTGTTGACTGGTAACTGTGCAGAGGGCAGTGGAGGCCTTCCAGGCCAGTTAGGTGGAGGTGCGGGGAGTAGGGGCAAACCTGCCCAGCTCACCAGGAGGTGGGTGCTTGAATACCATCACAGCTGTAACAGGGACTGCTGGACACTAAGAAGGGCCCGTGCCTAGGGACAGCCTGGCCCAGGGATGGGTTCAGGCACCAGGGAAGAAGGCTTATCCCCTTTCAGCCTGGGGGACAAAGAAGCTCCAGGCTGACCCCAGCCTGACGGCCACGCTCCAGGAGAGCCACGCGAGGTGGTGACAGACCTTGTCTTTCGCAGAGCTACTCCCAAAACCTGTGTCTTCTGGCTAAGTGTTTCCTCGACCACAAGACGTTATACTATGACACAGACCCTTTCCTCTTCTACGTCATGACAGAGTATGACTGCAAGGGCTTCCATATAGTGGGCTACTTCTCCAAGGTGAGCGCTTCTGCAGGCGGCTCCTCAGTCCTGCCCTGAGCTGGGTCCCTCCCCTCACGCTCACTCCGGCCCATCTTTTCCAGGAAAAGGAGTCCACGGAAGACTACAACGTGGCCTGCATCCTGACCCTGCCCCCCTACCAGCGCCGGGGCTACGGCAAGCTGCTGATCGAGTTCAGTGAGTACTCAGGCTGCTGGCCAGGGGCCGGGGCGGTAGCAGGCTGGCCCAGGCCCCAGGGGGCTGCACACACAGACAGACAGGGCTGCTGTGTTCCCAGCCGTGGCCTTGCAGCTCAGTCACCATGGGAACTGGCCAGAAATAAAGGTGGGACCCTCCCAGGGTTCTCTCCGTTCTGGGGTGACTGCCCTGCTTGTCTGCGCTAGGCTCTCAGTCCCTCGTAGTTCCTTGGCCACGGTGCTGAGCACCACTCAGCTGCTCCCAAGTCTGACTCATCAGCCCCTGCCCAGGGCCATGGGCAGAAGCCAAGTGAGCCACTCCTGCTCAGCTGTCTGGTCCTGTGCAGTTGTACACGTTCCTGGGCAAGGATCTGTGGCTCATTTCCCCACTTGTTGCCTGAGCCTTGTGGACAGTGGATGTCACATCAACATGACTCACAGGGGATCTGGCCTCTGCCCCTCGTCAAATGTGAACTCCGCATTGGCCTCCAAGGCCCCCTCCACTGCCCAGCCTCCTCCCCTCATTCTGTTCATCTCACCATTCACTGCACCCTTGGAATAACCACACTCTGACCTGGGAGATGAGGAGGGAGCCTTGGCTTCCTGACGAAGACATGAGGCCTGACTTGATCACGGGGCACCTTGAGTTCTATTGGTAGAAAGATGCCAAGATGGGGTCACATCTTCAGGAAGCCCTCTGTCTGGCAGAGCAGGAGGATGCTTAGGAAACTCAGCTTAAGCCTTGGAGCTCAGACCCAGTAGAGACGGGATGTGTGTGGGGCCACCAAGGAGATGCGCTCATTGTGCCTGGCNGGGGGGTGGGGGGGTGTTCACTGGGAGGGGCCAGGAGTCCCTGTCACTGAGGCGGCAAGTGTGGCCTCCAGTTGATTGGTCAGGACTCTGCGTGCCCGCCCAGCAAAGCTGGGTGGGAGTGCCAGTGTGCCCCTTCTCTCTTTCCTGCTTCCTGCCTCCGAAGCAGAGGCCTCTGTCTTCCCCACCAGGCTGTTTGGTGGAAATCACAGGAGGCTGGGCAAGAGGGTCAGACTGGCTAATAAAGATGTATCAAGGGGAAAGCAGAAAGGCTACACTCCAACACAAGGCTTGTGATGACTGAGGGTGAAGAAGGGCTTCTAGAAATAGTGGAGACATCTCAGGGCCCTGATGGGAAAAATGAAGACTGTCCAACAGGCGTGAAGCCACTCAGGGTTTTGCAGGGCCTGAGGGTCTCACCGAGAACCACCTACCAGTACCTAGCGTAACTAGGGTAAGGAGGGCGGAGCAGCCGAACTGGGAGGGAAGGAGCCCCGGCAAAGGCAGTTACTGCTGAGGAACAGCCTTCTCTGACTGGGAAGTGCTTTGGCATCACTCGCCTTACTTCCTCCCAGACACCCAGCCTGGTCTTAGAGCCGCTGATGCTTCTCCGCTCACAGCTGGGGGACTGTTGTGACTGAGAATCTGAGCAGCCCCTGGCCTGAAGCAGAGGGGGGCCTGGCCCACTTCTCTCCTCACATACCCAGACAGAGTCTGGCAGGACCAAGGAAAACTGGAGGCACTTTCTTTCCGCAAGCCATTCTCTGCACTTCCCCATCCCACCTGTAAGCCCTTGCTGGCTCCTGGTTGATCGTAGCTTCAGCACACAGCTAAAGAGTAGGCATGCTAGTCCTTCATGAGGAAACTAAGGCACCGAACAGATAAGCCACATACCCAGACCACAGAACCACCACGTGGCAGGCCCAGGGCGGGACCATGCAGTCTACCTGGTCGCCTGCGTTCTTAAGACACTAGTGGCACAATACTGTGATTTTTTATCCACCCCCTCCTGCTCCATTGCTTTAGGCTACGAACTCTCCAAAGTGGAAGGGAAAACGGGGACCCCTGAGAAGCCCCTCTCGGACCTTGGCCTCCTGTCCTACCGAAGCTACTGGTCCCAGACCATCCTGGAGATCTTGATGGGGTTGAAGTCAGAGAGCGGGGAGAGGCCACAGATCACCATCAAGTGAGCCTGGCCCTGCCTACCTGGGGGTGCATGGCATGACCTTTTGTTCCCGGGCTTTTTCACTCCTCGGGCTACTGGGGCCTGGGGCAGAGATGGAGGCCCCCAGGGGATCTGATCTTTGCCCTCCCACAGTGAGATCAGTGAAATTACCAGCATCAAGAAGGAGGATGTCATATCCACTCTACAGTACCTCAACCTCATCAACTACTACAAGGTAGGGAGGCAGGCAGGGGGAGACAGGTGTGTGCAGGGATGCTGAGTGCAGGCCCCATGTGGGCTGACCTGCCTGGCCCCATCTCCTGTCCAGGGCCAGTATATCCTCACCCTGTCGGAGGACATCGTGGATGGGCACGAACGGGCTATGCTCAAACGGCTTCTTCGGATCGACTCCAAGTGTCTGCACTTCACTCCCAAGGACTGGAGCAAGAGGGGAAAGTGGTGACCGGACACTGCCCTGGGAATGCCGGCAAAGGCAGCAGAACTGAAGCTGGCAGCCATCCCGCCCCCACTGGGGTCTCCAGGAGGCACCCCAAGGGAGACAGGGCTGAGGACCACTCCAAAAGGAGAGGACGGGCCTGGTCAAGGCCGGCTGGTGCCCAGCACCAAGGCGAGCTCAGGGCTCACGTCAACTCCACGGTCAGCTGGCAGCAGGCCCAGGCCTACTGTGAACCAGGGACCAGAGGGAGCCAGGCAGCTGTGTATAGTAAGATGGGGGGTGGGGGTGCCTTGTACAGGGGACTGGCAGCTGTACAAACTTCTTTTGTAAAGTAGGAGCTGGGTTGTGGTGGGTACTGGCTGCAAAATTCTGGCCTCTTCTGCCCCATTGCCCCCTGGCAATAAATTGTTTCTAGAGGTCAGAGGTATGGAAGGTTCTTGTGGGAGAAGGGGCAGTGCTGGCAGACTCACAGATTCTGTGAAAAGCTCCTTTATTGGGTGAAGGACTCTGGCTTCACACTGAAGAGGAGGTTTATTGGGGTGAGGGGTTCGGTGGCTTTCAATGTCAAGCTCTGGTTCTCAGTCTTCGGGTACCTGTGCGTGAATCTGCAAAAGGAATCACCTCTGCTGTTGGATTTCTGCAGTGTAGTGACTGGGTGGCCCAGATATTCAGAATCATAGCCCTTCTAGAAGGCCAGAGAAGAGTGCTGGGGAAACCATGCTGCCCCTACCCAGTCTAATTCTCCAGTCAGACCAGGTCTCCATCTGCCGCGTTATTCGCCCCAGCCCCAAAGCCCCTAGATTCACTCCAGCGAGGGTGGGGCGGGGCGCGGTGCTAAAGCCTGCAAGGGAGAGGGCCCATCCATCTACTCACCGCTGCAGCGAGGCTGGGCCAGCTTAGGGCCCCACGCAGTTTGGCATCCGGACCAGGGATAGATTCCAGGCCCCACACGGTGAAGCTGCTGAAACTGGCTGTGGCTCCCATAAAGCGGTCCTGGGGACGGGAAGGGGTCCCGGCTCAGCATCGAGGTTGCGGTTCCCACCCCCGCTCCCTTCCAACCCTATCCCCCAGTGCTCACGAAGTCCCGCTCCAGGGCCTCTGGGGGTTCCACCAGTTCCTGCTGTTCTCGCTCGTGGTCACTCTGCTTCCCCACCAACACCTCTGCCTTCTCTTCTGTCATCACATATCCCACGAAGCCGGGCGGCACCACCACCTCCTCGCCACGTAGACTACGCCCTCGAAACGACGCTTCCAGTCCTGGAGGAGGCAGGCGCAGGGAGAGCCTCCGTGAGGGTCTGATCCAGGCCTAAGGAAGCAAGCCCGGTAGCGGTCCTCCCGCCGCCTCCGGTGGACCACGATCCCCAGGAGGACTTGCGCCGCTCCTCGCGGAGGAGAGCGCGATGCCGGCGCAGGGGCTGCCGGGAGCCGTAGTCCGGCCGCGAGCGCTCACCGTCGGGACCCAGGCGGATGGCTGGGGTGAAGAAGCACCCCACCGGGGTGGGCCGGTTAACCGGGACCTCGCAGGGCAGAAGGTGCAGCGAGACAGGGGCGGGGTCGCGCAGTGTATCAGGGCGCAGGTGAACGCGGCGTTTGTCGATGCTTTCCTCGTAGCTGTTCTCCATAGTCCGTCGCGACTCCGCAGCTCGCAGGCTAAGGCCGAAGCTGGCGCGTAAAGCGCGCGGAGCCTGTCGGGGGCGGTCAGCGCAGAGCCTCGTGGGAAGCGTAGTTCTTCTCTTAGGCGCCTCTGCAATCCTGCCTCCCAGCGTTCCAGTCCCAGGGTTTTTTCCTTGAAATCCCCCCCCACCCCCACCCCAAGAAATACATTCTTATTGTAAAAAATTAAAACGATGTCTAAGAGTACACTTTTTACATTGATTAGTACAATGTGTTTTGTTTGTGGTGTATGTATGTTTAACTACACACACCACAAAGAAGGGACTCCTTCACATGTGAAGGTATTTTATCCGAGTTTGTCTTCCAAACCTGTATATTGGTCATTTTTATTACAGAGAAGACTTTTATTTATTTTTTAGTCAAATATGCAATGTATCTGCCTTTTCTTTTCAGGCCTAGTTTTAACAGTACTCTCTTTGTTAATTTCTTTAAGTTAGTCGCACAGTCGTGTCCGACTCTTTGCGATCCCAAGGACTGTGGCCCACCAGGCTCCTCTCTCCATGGAATGCTCCAGGCAAGAGTACTGGAGTGGGTTGCCATTCTCTTCCTCAGGGGATCTTCCTGACCCAGGGATCGAACCCGGGTTTCCTGCATTGCAGGCAGATGCTTTACCAACCGAGCTACTAACTCTTCTCTAATATTAATGTGTCCAGATAGCCAACTTAGATTTTGACAAGTACTCTCATAAAACGAACTCATACAAAACTGATGATTAAGACTGAAATTGCATTTAATTTATAGATTTGAGAAAGCGAAAAACATCCTCAGACTTCCAGGATCTGGCTTTGGTGTTTTGCTGAACAGGAACAATTTCATAGAATATCTGACAAGGTCACTCTGTGATGTGAGTGATGAAAACAAAAGCAAGATCATTCCGTACTCACCTGAACACTGACAAAAACACAAATATTGTCCAAAACACAAATAATGAACATTCTTCTATCTTGGATAGCATAGTGACTGTTGCTACTTTACCAATTATAGTGTTAGCTTCCATATAGTTAATGTTGTTAACATATCCCATCATAGAAATACTCCCACTCTCTGAAGGCATCCAATCCATAGAAAAGTCCCACTTCTTTAAATGCTCTCTCAGATTCCCTAAAACACAAGTCCAAATCCTAGAAATCCTGTTGTTTTTCAGTTGCTAAGTCGTGTCCTGCTCTTTACAACTGCATGGACTGCAACACACCAGGCTTCCCTGTCCTTCAGTATCTCCTGGAGTTTGCTCAAACTCATGTCCACTGAGTCGGTGATGCCATTCAACCATCTCATCCTCTGTCGCCCCCTTCTGCTCCTGCCCTCAGTCTTTCCCGGCATGAGGGTCTTTTTCAATGAGTCAGCTGTTCACATCAGGTGGCCAAAGTATTGGAGCTTCAGTTTCAGCAGTATGAAAAGGCAGAAAGCCTTCCTAACACCCTCTTGCCGAGATACCCCACAGTGCAAAAGTAATAAGTACAGATGTATTCCTGGTGATCTTTGGCTGAAGGGTATGGACAGTTTTTTTTCTTTTAATATTTATTTATTTATTTGGCTGTGCTGCATCTTTGTTGTGGCATGCATGATACTTTTTTTTTTTTTTTTTTTTAGTTGCAGCATGTGAATTCTCAACATGAGAACCCTCAACTGAGGCAGGTGGGATTCAGTTCTCTGACCAGGGATTGAACCCAGGCCCCTTGCACCGGGAGTGCAGAATCTTGGCCACTGGACCCGCCAGGGTGGTTCCTTGACAGATAAGTTTTGCTTTAGTTTTCTACTAAGGTTGTTGTTGTTGTTCAGTAGCTAAGTCATGTCTGACCCTTTGCGACCCCAGGGACTGCCGCACGCCAGTTTCCTCTGTCCTCCACTATCTCCTGGAGTTTGCTCAAATTCATGTTCATTGTGTCGGTGATGTTATCTAACCATCTCATCCTCTGCCAACCCCTTTTCCTTTTGCCTTCAATCTTTCCCAGCATCAGGGCCTTTTCCAATGAGTTGGCTCTTTGCATTAGGTGGATAAGATACATAATACCATTTATTTATGTCTCCTTTTATGTCTTATCTGTACAGTTGTGGGGTTTGCTTTTACACATATTTTAAAGCTTATTCCTAGATATCTTATATTGTTTGTATTGCAAACAAGATTCTTTTTTTCCACTTTATTACTCTTAATTATTATTTATCTATAGCAGAAGTTGGCAAACCTCGCATTTGGACTCTGACACAATTACTCAACTTTGTCATTGTAGCATAAAAATAGCCACAGACAGTATGTGAACTAATAAGCCTGGCTGTGTTCCAGTTAAACTTTATTTGCAAAAACAGACAGTAGGCTGGGTGGGGCCCGTCAGTGATAGTTTCCAGGAAAACAGTTGATTCTTACATATTTTTAAAATTTGCTTATTTTAATTGGAGGCTAATTACAATATTGTAGTGGTTTTTGCCATACATTGACATCAATCAGCCATGGGTGTACATGTGTCCCCCATCCTGAACCCCCCTCCCACCTCCCTGCCCATCCCATTGCCCAGGGTCATCACAGTGCACCAGCCCCGAGCACCCTACCATGTCTCATGCATGGAACCCGAACTGTCGATCTGTCTCACATAGGGCAATATACATATTTCAATGCTCTTCTCTCAAAGCAGTCCATACTTGCCTTCTCCCACAGAGTTCAAAAGTCTGTTCTTTACATCTGTGTCTCTTTTTCTGTCTCTCATATAGGGTCATCGTTACCATCTTTCTAAATTCCATATATATGCATTAATATACTGTATTGGTGTTTTTCTTTCTGACTTATTTCACTCTGTATAATAGGCTCCAGTTTCATCCACCTCATTAGAACTGATTCAAATGCATTCTTTTTAATAGCTGAGTAATATTCCATGGTGTATATGTACCACAACTTCCTTATCCATTCGTCTGCCGATGGACATCTAGGTTGCTTCCATGTCCTGGCTATTATAAACAGTGCTGCGATGAACATTGGGGTGCATGTGTCTCTTTCAGTTCTGGTTTAGTTCTGGTTTCCTCGGTGTGTATGCCCAGGAGTGGGATTGCTGGGTTGTATGGGAGCTCTATTTCCAGTTTTTAATGAATCTCCACACTGTTCTCTATAGTGGCTGTACTCGTTTTCATTCCCACCAATAGTGTAAGAGGGTTCCCTTTTCTCGACACCCTTTCCAGCATTTATTGTTTCTAGACTTTTTGATAGCAGCCATTCTGACTGGCGTGAGATGGTACCTCATTGTGGTTTTAATTTTCATTTCTCTGATTCTTACGTATTAATTTTTTAAACATATATCTATTGAATTATTTGTTTTTCCTAATAGTTTTGTTTTCTTTCCTGGGTTTCCCAGAATTAATTATCTCACTTTCAAATAATGATTATGATCATTTTACCCCCTCATTACATTACATGTCTTCATTTCTAGCACATCAACAGACATCTTTTCCTTTTCCCCAACATTTTCTTGGGAATTTCACCAATACTCATGAAATCGCTTTTCAACTTGTTTATATATATCTTGTTAAAGCTGTACTAAGGGTTTTTTAAATCCATTACTGTTTTTATTGCAGTAGGCTGGCTTTACAATGTTGTGTTAGCTTTTGTTGTTGTTGTTTCCATCACTAAGTCGTGTGTGACTCTTGAGCCCCCATGGACAGTAGCCCACCAGGCTCCTCTATCCATGGAATTTCCCAGGCAAGACTACTAGGTTGCCATTTCCTTCTCCATAAGGGTTTTTTAATTTGGAAGTAGATGTTTGATTTATTTTTACATTTTTGGTTTTGTTCAGTTTCCCATAGTCTGGATTTTAGTAATTGCATTCTCATAGTGTTATGTTTATCTGCCCTTATTTCCTGTAAATTAGTAATTAGATCTAGAAGCTTCATCAGATTCTTTTGGGGAGGGGGTGAGAAAGACTGCTTCAAGGGAGGCAGTGTGCTTTTCCATCAGGAGGGACCTAATACCTCATGTTTCCCTTTTTCTGTGAAGTTAGCAGCCCTGGATGATCATTGACCAGCTGTTTCAATTCACTGTGGGTTGCAAAATTGGTATTATAAGTTCACATTTCTTCTTCATTTACTTTATTCTTGTTGTTCAGTGGCTAAGCTGTGTCTGACTCTTTGAGACTGCATGGACTGCAGCACACCAGGTTTCCCTCTCCTTAACGATCTCCCGGAGCTTGCTCAGACTCATCATGTCCATTGAGTCAGTGATGCTGCCCAACCATCTCATCCTCTGTTGCCCCCTTCTCCTTCTGCCCTCAATCTTTCTCAGCATCAGGGTCTTTTCCAGTGAGTCAGCTCTTCACATCAGGTGGCCAAAGAATTGGAGCTTCAGCATCAATCCTTCCAATGAATATTTAGGGTTTATTTCCTTTAGGATTGGCTGGTTTGATCTCCTTGCTGTCCAAGGGACTCTCAAGAATCTTCTCCAGCACCACAGTTTGAAAGCATCAATTCTTCGGCACTCAGCCTTCTTTATGGTCCAACTATCACATCCATACATGACTACTGGAAAAACTATAGCTTTGACTAGACAGACTTTTGTCAGCAAAGTGATGTCTCTGCTTTTTAATATGCTGTCTAGATTTGTCATAGCTTTTCTTCCAAGGAGCAAGTGTCATGGCTGCAGCCACTGTCTGCAGTGATTTTGGAGCCCAAGAAAATAAAATCTGTCACTGTTTTCACTTTTCCCCCATCTATTTGCCATGAAGTGATGGGACCAGATGCCATTTACTAGAGTAGTTCTAAAAGGAAAACTTCCCCTCATCCACTAGTTGGTCCCCTCTTGGTGCAGTGAGTCTAAGAGGGGCACAGTTACTGCTCGATGCTTCCCTTGTATTTCTCAGGTTTTGAAATGACTTGTTCCCCTGTCATGCTTCCATGGTGACTTTAAAAAAAAAAGTATTATTATTAAATAATGTATTTTTAAATTTTGAATGCCTCAGTTACTTCTGTTTGTTATTCTCATTGATCCTGAAACTGTCCCACCTTTTTCTAATGGGAATCTCTTCAAGTGAGCTTCTGAGTCTTTTGATGTGACCCT